GGCTTTGAAGAGAAAGGGGCTCTTCTGCTTGGTGTTGAGGGTGGGCCCAGTGCAGTCCGCCGAGGCCCTGTGATAGCCTTTGGGAGAGCTCCCTCCTGCCTGCTTGTTTCCCCCAGCTTTCCACTTTAAGGTGGTGTTTCTCTCCTCAGGCAGAAGCAGGCTTTGGTATTGTCTGCCTGTCTGGTGCTGTCAGGGTCCTCCAGAGTTCCTGAGAACTCAGTAAAGGCTTGCTGCTTGCTTAAGTACACAGTTTTGTCTTACAGCAATTAAAAAGTCTTGCTTTTTAGGTCCAGCATTAATCAAAAGGTCTCAGAAGTTATCTCCATATACTAATACTGCTCAGTGAAAGACTAAGTGCCTGCTTTTTATTGATTTTGGTGGGGTGGCATTGAGCACCAGGTTTGTGTTCACTTTGTGCTCCATCACCACCTCCTTTCTTCTGGGTGGGGGTAGGTTATAGAAGGCTGTTGTTCTTGAGGCTCTTCTCTCAAACTTAGGACCTTTCTACACTGGCATTGGCCAATAAGATGGAAATTTTTAATCTAACGCATGTGGGAAACCGAATTTTAAAACTTTTTTAGTATTTCAGATTTAGAAAGCTGTGTGGCCAGCAGCCCTCACATTTGACAGTGCAGTTCTGGGCACCTTGCTGTCTAGTGCCCCTTTGCTGTCCATAGGCTCTGCTAGCCCCAAAGGCCTTGGCAGCTCAGGTGCTGCAACCAAGCACCAGAGACTGGAGGTGTACGCAACAGGAATTTTCTCACCGTTCTGGAGGCTGAAAGTCCAAGAGGAAAGTGTCAGCAGGTTTGGTTGCTTCTGAGGCTTTTCTTCTCAGCTTGCAGATGATCTTTTTCTCACTGTGTTCTCTCTCGCATGGTCTTTTCTGTCTCTTTTTAATGACATTAGTCAGATTGGACTGGAGCCCACCCTAACCATCAGCCCTTTTAAAAAACTTAAACCTCTGCTGTTAGGTGCCCGTCTCCAAGTACAGTCACATTTGGAAGTACTAGGACTCAGAGCATCAAAATGTGAATTTTGAGGGGGTCAGGTCACAGTTCAGCCCACAGCAGACCAAGGTTTCACTTAAAAATGCTCTCCCACCTTAAACTGTGCTTAGAGAGGGAGGAAGGGGAAGAGTCCAACGTCCCCAACAGTATTGTATCCATCAACATAACTTTCTCTGTGATGGACCACTTTTGTTCACATCCCTGAAGAAGCCGCAGACTGGGGATCAAGGTAAGTATCTTTAGGACACTGGAGGGTTAACTTAGGTAGCTGCCAAGGCTTACTTCTGTCTTAGTTCTAGGCTAGGCATGGAAACCTGACCTTGGTGGGAGCAGGTAGGAATGATAGCTTCTAATAGAAGGTAGGCTGTACTTTTGTTAAATAGTTGGTTCAATATAAAACATATGTTGATACTTTATGCTTGTGTGGCCTGTCCAGGCTCAGTGATTTGACAGTTATGGTGGATGATCAGAGTGGTAAACAAAACAGCTTTCATTAAGAATTCCTGGGATGTCAGGCCTTATAAAAATATGTGCATATTGATGCCATAGAACACATCCCTCTCCATTTCCCCCCCAGGGCTTCTGGTTCATTGTGCAGGCCTTTGTCACCGAGCTACTCACTGCCCTGGAGCTTGGCCCTTTGTATACATGTGGTAATGGCAGTGGAAAGGAGGGTATGTGGCTTTTTTCCCACAGTAGGTCTGTGAAGGGAACTCCACCTGGCACCTATCACTTTCTTGATAGATGATTCCCATGTCCTGAGCTCCTCAGCTGGGCCTGTGCATTTTAGTCTTGCTTTGCTTGTAAGAAAGGGTGAGTTTGTACAGTGGTCACTCCCCAGCCTCGCTAGCCTGCAGACCTGACAGAATTTTGGCTGCAGTTCTCAGCCCAGGGCAGAGCATGTCCAAGTGGAGGACAGACAACTGCAGACGTCAGCATGGGGCCACAGCACCAGCCACAGTCTGACTGGGCCTTGCAGGCTCCTGAATCTGGAGCCCGTTACTCTGTCTTCTGGCTTGTGCAGGGGAAGACTAGTGTGTGGTATTTACAGCTGGGACTGATGGGCATTTCTGTGCCAGGTGTGAGTTCTCATCCAGCTGGGTGTCTTTTCTCCAGGCGCCCTGGAGGCCCATCCCTGTTGTTGGATGGAGTAGTTAGTGTGTTACTGTTGGGTGTTTGCAGGCCGACTCTGTAACTGCTGGACTCCTGGGACTGGTGGCCAGGCCAAACTCTGAAGTTACAATCATACCAGGGCGTGGCTCAGAGAAGCAGGCCCTTAATTTCTTACTTCACAGCCCAAGATGTTGTGGCCTTACGGGTTTTGACAAATTTGGGAATGGGTGCACCAGCTACTTTTCATGATTTTTCAAAAGCTGAAGATTCTGTTACTTTCTGCAGAAGCTAGTTAGACCATATCAAGTGTCCTTTGGGCAGGAATTATGTACTCCTGGTTGTCTGAGGTCAGTTGTTTCCAATCTGTATACTTAATGTATATATTTCCTATTTCCTATAAAAATTAGACAAGAATTAAATAGTACCTACTAACAGTACTCTTCTGCCATTTCTTTCCTCCCTCCTTTTCCAGAACATTCTGTCTTTGGTTAAGGTGAGGGAGCCAAATACAAATAGTGGCTTATTTGTTTATCTGTTAATTTGGTTCTAGGGACTGAACCCAGGGCCTCATGCAGGCTGGGCTGGGTAGGTGTTCTGTTACTGAGCTGCATCTTCAGATATTTTTTAAGTTTTTATTTTGAGACAGGCTTTCATTATGTTGGCCATGTTGGCCTCAAACTTGGCAGTCCTCTTGCCTGAGTAGCTATGATTATAGGCATGCACCATGGCACTAGAAATTCATTTTTTTAAAAAATTGTGGCTCCTTAAAGGACCAGGGGAAAATTGGTTCTTTTCTCTTTCAGAAAGAATGATAGAAGCATGCTGAGTATCTATAGAGTTACTCTTAAAGTTGTGAAGCAGGGGTTACTGTTTCTAACTTCTTAAACTCGGGACTGGGTGATTTTTGTGGGAAGAAGATCTGGAGGGCTTGGCATTGTGGGGGACCTCCCTGGTGCCCTGGGTTCTATGTTTTCATGCATGAGGTCCTTCGGAGACACTTCAGTTTTTCCTGGTTGTCGGCAAGGCTGTACTCTTGCCGGTGACAAGGAGAAGGCAGGAAGGGATTGAAATTCAAACTGCTGATTGCCCTCTTGGTGATGCATGTGGATGAGTGTCAGAGGTAAGTTCGAAGTTCACTGATCGGACTTATGCTTTCCAGGGATCTCTGGCCTTGTTAGTAGATGGTGACAGTATTCTTGGTGGGTGGAGCCTACTTTGTCCTTTAGGCTGCTTTAGATCTCATTGCATTTAGTGAGTTTGCTCATGTTTCTTATACTTGACTATCTGGGCTTGATTACCTTCCTGTAAGTCTTCAATGGTCTCACTTGCATAAAAGGGACCTCTGCTTCCAGTTCTGTCCTTGTTTGACTTTGTTTAATTTCTTCCTGTTCTATCATCAGTCATACCTTCTTTTTTTTCACTTTTTTTTTTTCTTTTTATCAGTACCGGGGATCGAACTCACGACTGCCTGCTTGCAAGGCAGGTGCTTATGCCGCTGAGCTAAATCCCCAGCCCCATCAGTCGTATCTTCTGATACAAGGAGTTTTGTAGGAGTTCTTGAAATGTGGGAAGTTTGGCTCCAAAACTGCAGAATATGTGTTGTACTTCTATTCTTCAAGGCATACAGGTGGCTTGGCCAGGTTTTATACCTCTCTTTCTTTGCTTTGCATCTTGCAGCAGAACAGCATCTTGGGGCCAACGGAGTAATGATGACCACATAGTGATCTCTCTGGGCTTGCACTGAAACCTTAGCAGGCGGGATGGTAACTTTGGAATGTTGGTGTGTTGGTTTGTTGAAGGCCCAAGAGTTTACTATTTAAGTAGGTTAAACATTCTTGCCCATGTCTTTGAGTGTAAGTGTGATGCCTTGGTTTTCCAGAAGGTGAAAGTGAGTTAGACCATGAAGTCAAAGTCAGCTGGGCAAGGCTGGGAGAGCTCTGGCAGATGGAGGCTCGCCTACAGCACAGCCTACAGCACAAGCCACAGTTATCGCAGACACTTGTCTTCCCTGTCGTGTGGTTAAAGCTGATTTCAGCAAGTACTTTTTTTTGGTCTTTGTTGTTTTGTTTTGTTTTTATCGGTACCAGGGATCGAACTCACGACTGCCTGCTTGCGAGGCAGGCACTTACGCTGCTGAGCTAAATCCCCAGCCCCTATTTCAGCAAGTACTTTAAGTTTGCTTAGTTTCAGGTGAGAACTGTGTGTGGCATCCCTTTACTCTCACAGGGACAGCTTCACTTGTAAGTGGTGCCCAGGGTGTGTGTCAGGTCTGTGCACTGGTGCAGTGTGACGGTGTCGGGCTGGGGTACTTGGTCGGCACTGCATGTTAAGTGTCAAGCTGTTTTAACACTCCTGACAGTCCCTTTTATGCAGCGTGTTATTTAGTGTCCAGATGCAGTGTCAGAGGCATAGGAGAGTCACCATTTGGTCAGTGGCAAGATGTATATAGGTTGTGACCAAGGTTTATTCCAGTTTCAGATCCTTTCTTGCATGCTGCAGCCTAAGAAACTATCACATTGGAGCCACACGTGCAGCGATGTGTTCCATGTGTATTAGATTTACTTTTGAGGTTTTCCCCTATTGTAGATCTAGGGTAAGACAGGAGGCTATTTTTCATATTTCAGAAGGAGTGTTCAGGATATGTAATGGGACTAGAAAGAAGGGCTCAGAGTTGTGCAGTCAGGATCCATACTCTGCGCCGCGTGCCTTTCAGAACTCTCATCCCTGAGGTTGTCTTAAAGAGAGGTTAAAAAAAGACAGTGTTGGGGGCTGGAGGTTTATCTCAGCGGCATAAGCGCCTGCCTTGCAAGCAGGCAGTCGTGAGTTTGATCCCCAATACCGATAAAAAGGAAAAAGGCAAAAAAAAAAAAAAAAAAAAACAGTGTTTACTATAGAATCATTGTTGCTTGCACAGCAGACATGTCAAAAATTTTTAAGTCATTTAAATTTGACACTTGAACTGGGTATGGTGGCACAGGCCTGTCATCCCAGCACTCTCGAGGCTAAGGCAGGAAGATCGCCGAGAGTTTGAGGCCCTCCTGGGCTACATAAATGAGTCCAAGGCCAACCTGCACTACATAGCAAGACAGTCTCAAAAAAAAAAGATACAATTTTTTTTTTTGACACTTGTATGGACTTGAATGTAGGTAATAATATTACCATATCAATGGCAATAAAACGACTTTAGAGTTCTCAGTTACTCTCCTGGAAGCCAAAAGAAAAGAAAACAAGTTTCACTTGTCATATTTTTTCATTTGTCATTGAACACTAGCAAACCCCTCAGCGAAGGGCAACACCAACCAAGTGTACTTGTAGCACAGTTTTAACCAATTCTGGTGTTTTGTGATAGTGTAAATTAATTGTTTCCGTCCTTTCAGAATTTGAAATACTCTTTATTCTAGTTTGATCTACCCTACTCCCTACATTTTATGAAAAGTTTTGTAACATGGTTTTTAAAGTTAAGAATGAATGATGAATGCAGTATGTTTTGATAATATTCGGGTAGCCTCCTGACCTGCAGGGCCAGCGTGTGGCTGTCGGGAGGGCTCTGGTGTAATAATGGGGAGACAGTGACTCCCATGAATGCTTCCATAGACGAGCCGCATTCCAAGCAGGAAGCGGTGGCCTCGCCCATCTGCCTTTGAATGTTGCTTTATTTTTCTTGACCTCATTTTCTTTGAGCTCAAAAGCATATCTTCTGTTAGGTAAAACAGAAGTAGATTTCTAGTGCCTGCCTCCTTCAGTTCTTTTTGTCCACTTCTCAAAAAAAAAAAATATTGAGAATTTCTTGTATGCACAGCACTGGCATTTAGCCTATATATGACATTGTGAATCCCATGCCTTCTGCTAATGGCTCTTCATAGAGTAACTGCCTGCCTTTGATGTGAGCAAGAGAGTCAGGAGGAAGGGGTCTCACAGCCAAGCCCTGTGGTTCCCTCTCATCACTTCTCACCTGGTCAGCAGCAGCCAAGTCTGGGCTTTAGACACATCACCCATGCGAGGCGAATACAGAGCTGTTTCTTTTTCTTCACTGTGAATGGATGGTATTTCAGTGATAATAATAGTTTTATTGAGGGGTAACTGACATGTAGTGATCCATATATTTCATATGTACATTTTAATATGTTTTGACATGTTTATACCCATGATATAATCAAAATCAAACTCTTTCCCTCCTTTTTCTCTAACTAATGATCTGCTTCCTGTCACTGTAGATTAGTTTGCATTTTCCAAGTATTTATATAAGTGGGGTAAATGCAGTATGTGCCCTTTTATTGGCCCAGCTTCTTGCACTCAGCATAATTATTTTAATATTTATTTATGTTGTTTGTATTCATAGTGCCTTCTTTTTTCTTACTGGGTGGTGTATACCAAATGGGTGTCATTACTCAGGTTGCATTCTGTGCCTATAAAGCAGCAAGCTTCCTGGGAACCTTGGAAAATACTTGGGGAGGGATCCTGACCGATCCCAGGAGGATTCCTGGTCATGAAACCCAAGAATGAACAAATTTGTTTGTTCTGCAAGAATGAACAAAATTGTTGTTCAATTTTGTTCTGCTGTAACTGAAAATATTTGGCTCTAAGGGCCCTCCAGTCCATATAGTACAGAAATGGAGTGATTCTTTTTAAATTTTTAGGTTTGGCCTGTATTTGTAACCCTTTTCATAGTAAATGAAGGGCTCATCCGTCTCTGCCCCAAGGCATCTTTTTCTCTCTGGAATTTTTGGAAATCCCATCTAGACGTTGTATGTTCTTTACCTCTTTCTCCTTCCAGCCTGTGGCCATTGGAGATTGGCCCCCCAGAGGAGAAGGTAGAAAATTAGCGACTCAGCCACCTTCTCTTCCGTGTTCTTAACTTGGTTTCTGCCTTTCATTTTCCCTGTAATGAGCAGATACAGAAACTCTGCAAGTTGGCCTTACCCCAACGTCCCCAGAATATTTCTTTCAGTGCAGTAGTAAAACATTTTAAAGTGTTTACTGAGATGCCATGAGTCCACATGTAGAAAATCCAGTTTGTTGATGTAACAGCAGCCAGTTGACCTAGTAACTGGTCACAGAACAGGTGCTCAAAGGGTAGACCTGACTCCTTGCCTGTCGGAGACAAGCTCAGCAATCCTCTTTAGTCTTGGTTGTTGCAAATCTGATGATAGGCTTAAGTACAGAATCTATTTCATAATGTCCCCAAGGCCTCATTGGTGCTTTAAGACTGTCCTTTACCCTGGATTCTGTAGGGATGGAGGCTTCAATTTGAGTAATAATTGATTGCACCAGTTGAGCTCCTCATGCTTTGGCTTTTCTCTTTTTGGGGTTAACTTCTGGAAAGTGGTATAGTGTAGTGTTTAGAATTGGGATGCTGATCGTTAAAGATGGGACTTGGAGGTAGTTGTTAAAAAGTTGGACAAAAACTATAGTGTTTGTAAGGGATGTTTTGAGTCTTTTGAAGCAATTTGGCACCCACCAAGAAGGAACCTCTGTAATTTTCTCTGTAACAGACTAATAGAAGCCAGGACACAGGTGGAGAAAAGAAACTGGAATTGCAGGGTACTGGCAAGTTCTTTTGATCATGGATCCCAAGTCAGAGGAGAGTTTAGATGATGTAGGTTTCTGACCTCAAGTGGACATGGAGGTACTACTTGGTGAAGTAGGGATATACATGGCAGAGGAATGGTTTAAATGTGCAATTCAGTATTTAGAACGCTGAGTTCACAGATCAAAGGGACACCCTGGAGTTGGTGTGTGATGTGAAGTTCAGATTGGATCTGGAGTCTGTGGGAGGCTCAGTCTAGAAATGTATGTGTGATAGTCTCTTCTGTGTTCTGGGTTGGAAGTGCCACTGTTTATGGAAGCATAGAAGAGGAAGAAGTCAGAGCATGGATCCAGGAAAAAAAACTGCATGGAGGCAGATGGAGCATTTTAACCATCGTGGTGCCATCTGCGCTGCCAGGGGGTCTCGGGCCAGAGGAGAGCTCAGCCTTGGTGGTAGTTATGAGACCTGAGTGCCTCTGACAGGCCATTCGATGGTATTAGGGCACTTTGGGAGAAAGGGGGAAAGAGAGCCCCTGGCGCTTTCATGGGAAAGTAGAATTAGCAATGTTGAGGTTGTTTGGAGGTTTTTTGTTTTAGGAAATGCCAAAGTTTTCTGCCTATGGAGTTAAAATTTTCTTTATAATGTTTTGGGTGTGGCGCTAGAGTTCAGCATAGTGATCTTGGGATCTGTAGAGTGTACTGAAAACTGCAGCGGTAAGGAGGTGTTTTCCAGTGTGTGTGTAATATGTGAGCCCGGACCTCTGCAAGAAGCCTGCTCCCCTGCCTGCTGTCTGCTTGTTTGCTGTTCCTGCACCCACCTGTGGTCCCCTAGGCCTGCACTGGAAGATGAGTTCAGATGAGGGGTGACAGTGAAGAGCTCCAAGAGGGCCGGGGTGGGGCATCATGGAGCATCACCGAGGTGAGCCTTGAGGAGCGTGGGGAGAAGAGCACCCTGAGAACTCAGTAGTAACCTGTGCACTTTCTAATCTGGTCTGTGTTTCTTCAGGCCTGTCAACTACGTGGTCCCAGAATTCCCGGTCCCAGCACAGGAGAAGTCCCTGCTCCAGACATGAAGACCGGAAGCCCTCGGAGGTACTTCCCGAACGCTTGCCTGACTGTGCATGTCACACGCCTGTATGCACGAGTACATGCTCCCACACACTCCTGCTCGATTGTGTCTGTGTGCAGCCCTGGGCAAGTTCCTTAAACTCCTGGCACCCTAGTTTACACTCCTGTCAGATGGTGTAACACAGGTGTGTATTTCACCGGATTCCCCCGAGGAGTAAGTGGGTTGGTACATGTAGACTCATGCATACAAAGCACCTGAATAGTTCCTGGCACATAAAAAGTGCTCAGTAAAATGTTAGCTATTATTATTAATTGTATTCTTTTTTTCCTTTCCTGTTCCATCTTCGCTGGCTTCCAACAACTTTTCTTCTGGCCAGGAGATGAGCGGGTTCAGCTGCTGCCAAGTCACTGCCAGCCTCAAGTTAGTTTTAGCCATGAATTTGTGGCTCATTTGGCAACAACCCAATGTAATTCTGGGAGTTTTGTTTTGGGGATTATGCTTCAGGCTCCCTCCCCTTTCTCAATTTGTTTCCCATCTTATGTTTCCCCTGCTGCCCCGTATTTGTTGTTTATCTTTCTATCTTGGCTTGCTTTTAGGTGTGGCTCTCCGGGGCCTTGCTTGGTTAGGGGGTCTCACTGGTCCTGAGATTCTCTCTGCTAACCTTTGCTGGGCTCTGAGGATTCAAAGAGGACGCATTGGTTTATTTTAGTTTTTAACTGAGCAGGTTATGGAAAAAGTTTTGTGTTGAACTTTAGGGTTTTTGCTGCTTTTTTTGATGGGATGGCTTCGAAGTTGGCTTTATGCTGAATGGCAGTGCAGAGTGAGGCAGGCATTCCTTGGAGTGGGGATGTGATAGGGAAGCCAGGCATGTGCTGTGTCAATGAGTGGAAGGTCGATTGGCCCATAATTACAGCCCCTGTGAGGAGCATACACGTCCATTGGGATTGCAGAGAACCGTCCTAGAGGCACTCACGTGTTGGCAGAGGCTTGGGGATGGTAGGAAGGTGGCCCTTCATTCCCTTGGGTTCATTCCAGGCTCTTGTTCAAGTGACCTGCAGCACTTGCTTCCTTGCTGCTTTCCTAAGCCTAAAAGTGTGTCTTTGATGTGCATGCTGAGCTGCTATTATTTCAGCAAAGGAGAGTGCAAGGGGCCCTGACTGCTGTGAGCCGGGCCCAGCAGTGGCACTGGAGTGCTCATCCAGCCCGGAGCCAAGCAGCAGGGTCCTCGTGGTGGCCGTGTCCCTGACCTGTCTTCTTTGTGCATAGCTGTCTCTCATGCTGAGCTCTGCCGAGGACTTGTGAGCACAGGCCATCTGAGGGGTCTGTTTGGCTCTTGACCAGCCTTTCTCTAATATGTGAACTGGGCTGCCCTTTCTCACCTGGCTGCTTCAGTTTGGTTCCCCATCTTTGGCGAACTCAATTGTGGATTTACTGGTGTGACTTAGATGGGCTGTGTGCTTCCTGAAGGTGTGGACACATGGCTTGGGTTTAGAGGACTTTTCTCTGGAGCTAGGAGATAACTCTGGGCTGGATGCCTGCTTTAAGAACCTGGTGTTTGGTGTACTTTTGTGCAAGATGTATGAGCAGGCTCTTTCTCCTTCATAGGACTGTAGAAATGAGGACTGGGGGAAGCCCAGGTTGGAAAGGCAGCCTGGAGAAGTGGCCTTTTTACCAAGACACTGCCCCAGACTTGATTAGGATGAGGCTTATTAAAGTGATCACCAACCTGAAAAGCCATCAGGAGAAACAAATATGGACCTATTAGCAGGCATATGGTCTGAATTGCTCTTAACAGCACAGGAAAGAACTCCCTGACCTAGAGGAGAGGGTTCTGCATTGTGGCTTGTGTAAACAAGGGCAGCTTGCAGATGCAGGCTTGCTTACTGCCAAACACAGCTTTGGGTACCACCCAGGCCAAGGCCGGAGCTTCCTTGTGTAGCCCTTAGCCGTCTTGAGTGGGCTGGGGATGGGACGAGGGAGCCAGCTGTGCAGCCTTGACTGTGGGAGGGTGCTGTGCTGCGCTCCGTGGGGGCCGACCCTGGTCCATGGGGTACTCCAGGCCTGTGAGGCTCAGAGGAGCAGGTGTAGGGAAATCGCCCTTGAGGATATTCTCTTCTTTTTCCTGTGGTGAGGAATTGGGGTGCTGTCTTGGCAGAGGGGCGCTTTTGGAATTATGGGTCTGTTTTTGGCACGGTGGAGTGTGTTCTGGGCTCCTTCGTCCTGCCCCTGGCCAGGGCATGGAGGCGTGTGGCAGTGAACAGTCTGCAAGCCTGCCTCTGATGGCGCTCGGTGGCCTCTTCCTACTTCTCTCCCATGTTTCTCAGAATTGTGCTTTTGCCAGGTACTTCGTTGACACGTTGTCCTTGTCCTGAACCTTGCTATCACCAGACACATGGCCGTGTGTCCTGGCGCCCTGGGCTGCAGGGTCTTGTGGTTGTACTCGATGTAGGAGATTAGGCTGGAGCTTTGAGTAATAGTAGCTTGTGTAGTTGTATGGTCAGTGGCATTTTATTTCTAAACCCTGACCTAAAGAGCAGCTCCCATTTTAATTTTAGCAGAGATGAGGTTTAAAGTGTGGTATTTCCCCTCTGCCCAAGACTTTGTAGGGTGAGTGTTCAGCATTCCTCTTGGTGAATTTGAGAGTCCTTCGTTTGGTGGAGGACAGAGATGGCTTTGTGTTCTGTTGATGTACCGTTGGCACTGCTGTGCCTGCTCTGTCGTGTTGACTGAGGAAGGGAGAGGGCAGTGTTGTGTCAGCTGCCACCACCCAGGCCCGAGCGAGGTACCAGGTGTGTCAGGCAAAGGGTTTCTGTAATAGGTCAGACTTGTTCTGTGTTGATACAGTGACCTTATTACACTGCAGCTCCATGGTTACCCTGCAGCTGCCAGTGCTCTGGGAAAGAATGCAAATATCAAATGTCAGTGTCCCTTTCTCTCCTGTCCAGGTGTTTAGGACAGACCTGATCACCGCCATGAAGTTGCACGACTCCTACCAGCTGAACCCTGATGAGTACTACGTGTTGGCAGACCCCTGGAGACAGGAGTGGGAGAAGGGTGTCCAGGTGCCTGTGAGCCCAGGGACCATCCCGCAGCCCGTGGCAAGGTAGAGATGCCTGCGGAGAGGATTCTGCCTCTCCACCCCACCATGCATTTCTTTCCCTCTATCTGGGAGCCTCAAAAGAGACAGCTTCTGAGTTGGCAGTAAATATACTGCAAGGTCTCAGTGGACTTACAGATGTGGCAGGAACAAGAGTTGAGTCACAAAGTGAAGTGGCAGCCCGGGGAGGAGGTGCCCAGGGCTATTTGGAGAGTGGCTGGCTGGGGTGGAATTTTGGTGCTTGACTGTGTGTGCACATGTACATGCGTGTGATGTGGATACTAGCAATGGTGCTTCTGGGGCAAGTGCTTGATTCTACCTGTGCAGGAGGACAGGTGTGGGGACCTGGCGGGCCAGGGCTTTTAGACAAGGAGTTTACCTGACAGAATCCCAGGTGTTGCTGTGTGACAGCTTCTGGACCTGCTGACAGATACTTACCTGTCTTGGGGCAGGCCCTCCTGACACTTCTCAGTTTGCTCGTTTCACCATTGTGCAGCTCCCTGTGACCTTTTAGGGAAAGGGTCCATTGCCCTCTGCGTTTGACCAGCAGCTGGTTTCTCTGCTGCAGCACGGGGTAACTTTGCAAAATGGCCTCTTTTACCATTGCTGATGATGGACTGAACTTAACCGCTTGGCCCTCACCCACCAATCTCTTCAAGCACTTGATCCTATTTGATTGTTTCATTTTGGGGTTCCCGAGGAGTCTATTCCAGGCGGCAGATGTGTAGGTCTTTGTGGCCCATTGCCAGCGGGTGGGGCTCAGGTGCCCTAGAGGCCGTGTCCTGGCCTGTGCGCAGCGTGCACCCCCAGCTTCAGCATCCGAGGTGCGCCGCTGAGTGCTGCAGTTGCAGTTGGAGCCCAGGCTGAAAGCAGTGAGCACTGACGGTCCTTGTGGAGTTTTCACTTGAAACCTTGCCTTTGCTGCAGGAGGAGAAATGAATCCCTCAGTGTCCTATCTCAGTGTCACAGATAAAATCACTCCCTTTAATGATAAGGGCACTAAAAATGCTTCTACAAACTCTGGGCAACCTGTTGATCCGACACAAACTGCCAAGGCACAGATGTGGAGGAGCACGGGGGCCCTGGGGCCTCGGAGGGGCAAGGCCCGGCTCACAGTTGGGGCTGGCATGCTCTTCTCACGGTGGCCCTTGTCCTAAACGGGTTGAGGAGGAAGGCAAGAGCGCAGGAGAGTGTGGCTGTAGGAGGGAAGAGCCTTGTGTTTCTGTCTGTGAGTGCATGTTTGGGTGGGGAGAGTCCCTGCTTGGCCAGAACTGTCAGGTTCTCAGGTTCTTAGTCACGGTGGCCAGTGCCTACCTTTTTCTCTCTAGCAATGTGTTGTAAGGTGATCGTTCACATGTCTCTGCCCTTGGCTGCTTGGTGTGTTCTATGCCTGCTTAGCTTGACTGGCTTATCTTTTCTTAGATGTTCTCAAGAACCTGCACATGGCAAGCCTTGTTTTACTGACCTCCCCACCAGGGCTGGCCAATATAGACACTTTCCACCCCTCAGGCTTGGTACTGGACTTTGAGTCCAGGACGCTCACATGGAAGTATATCACCTGTCCCCCTTACCTCTCCTTTTTGTTCTCTTCCCCTCTCTCCTCAGACTTTGGGAAAGGGTCCCTAAGTAGCCCAGGCTGGTCTTGAACTTGCCATCTTCCTGCCTCAGCCTTCAGTGCTGGAATTGCAAGTGCTGGAATTGCCACCATACCTGGCGTATTCTTGGATTTTAAGCCTATGCTTTATATGAACCTGGGGAGGACCTAGGCTTTGGAGGGTGAGGGAAGAAGCTGCACCTGGGACTGTGGCACACCTCCCTGAAGGAGCTGGAAAGGATGATTTGGCTGTTTTGTTAACCAGGGTTGTGTCGGAGGAGAAGTCCCTCATGTTCATCAGGCCCAAGAAATACATCGTCTCATCGGGCTCTGAGCCTCCCGAGTTGGGCTACGTTGATATCCGCTCGCTGGCTGACAGTGTGTGTCGCTATGACCTCAATGACATGGACGCTGCATGGCTGGAACTGACCAACGAAGAGTTCAAAGAGATGGGTGAGAGCACGCGGGTTGTTGTTTCATCACCTTATGCTGAGACGCATCCGGAGTGAGTGGTGCCAGCTCTGCTTGTGTGGAGAAGCCTGCTCAGCTCAGCTTCATTGTCAGTCTCGGGGGCTCCTCCACGGTCAGCCCGTGTGGCTGAAGCAGGAGGACAGGGAGATGCAGAGGCTGGCGCTACTCATAGAGCAGAACAGAGCTCATGAGGGCAGGGTTGAGGATGGAGGCAGTGTTCCTCTCACTGTAGCATCTGTTTTTTGGCCCCCACTTCTCAATTAAGGGAACTGAATGATGCCCAAAGAAATTAAGTGCCAGGGTCCCGTTCTGTGTTGTTTTCTTTTTTTCCTGTGATGCCACTGAGGGTCCATCTTTAGTGGTAGGCGTCTTTATTTCTTTTACTTTTTTGGGGGATTTTTGAGACGAGTCTCTTTTGTAGCCCAGCCTGGCTTCCAATTCATAGCGAACTTCTTGCCTCAGCCTCCCCAGCGCTGGCATTACAGGTGTGCATGACACCTCTTTATTTCTTGAAATGAGCCCCACTCTAGCCACGCCCATTGTGTTTGCACCACAGCAGTTTTCCCAGTCTGCTCCAAACCTGGAGTGTTGGTTCCTCTGATCTGTTTGTCCTTGAGGTTTGCTGAATGAGGCGGCAAAGAAGGACTGAAGGGTGACTGTAGCTGCACCCTGTGCCCCCGTGCTGGCCGGGGAGTGGTGGCATGGACCTCTCGGTTGCCACTCAGCGCACATTACTCGTGGTGTTTGTGGTAGTGGGCTTCAGAGCACTCAAGGGCAAAGTCCTGAGTTTTTCCATGGGACCTGGCACAGAGACTGGCCTATAGTAGCAACTTGGCCTGCTGTTGTGACCAGCACGATAGTGTAGACCAAGTCAGGAATGTTGTTAATTTCTACTGTAGTGTTTTGATAGTAGATTTCCTTTCTCCTGGTCCTTAAGGTGTCTGTGACCAGAGCAGTAAGGGTCTGGAGAAGTCCTATTTTATATAATCTTGATAAGTTTTTTAGAGAGTTCTTATACTTGAATTCTATTGTATTTTGGTTTCATAGATGACAAAGTTCTACCTTGTTTATTACAGCTTTATAAAGATCAGTAAAGTTGAGTGAGTACTTAAGGTGGTGCTCACCTGGAATCCCAGCTGCTTGGGAGACTGAGGCAGTAGGGTGGTAATTTCAGGGCTAGACTGGGAATCACAGACCTCTGTAGCCCCAGCACACGGGAGGCTGAGCAGTAGATTGCTGCCAGTTGAGGCCAGCCTGGGCTCCAGAGTGAGTTCAAAGCCGGTTGAACTGCATAGTGAGAGTGTATCTAAAACTAACAAACGGTAAAGAGGCGGTGCCTGGGGGTAGAACTTCCTGGGTTCAATCCCCAGTACCACAAAAAACAAAAAGCTAAAACTAGTATAATGCACTTGAAAGATTTTAGGTGTCCTGTGTTAAGTCAGAGGACTTAACTCAATGACTGTTGGGATTTTGTGAGTGCTTTAAATAATAACTAGGCTAATCAAATTTAAATACCGTTGAATATTTTGATAGGCTAGGTATTTATTTGTGTAGCATAAATGGGACATGGCTAAAGATGTTTGAGGTGGTTGCTGTTGGTCTTTTTACTTATGAAAGTGAATTACAGTGCCTAGTGTTTCAAAGTCAGTGTTTCCAAGGTTGGTGGGAGCGTTGGGATGAAGAGTCTCATAAGGCAGTGGAGGTTCTGAGTGTGTGCAAGGCTCATTGGTGTTTGCCTCCCGGTCTACTGTTAAAACACGGGACGTTGACTCGATAGCTTTACGTTTATGAACATGAACATTGAGTTGTAGGCACTAATGAAACACTTTTTTCTATCTTAAGTATGTATTTGTGTTTTGTTTTTTTGCATTTGAGTATTTTTAAAATGCATATTGGGTGGGGCCAGGGATTTAGCTCAGTGGCACAGAGCCTATTTGGCAAACAAAAGGTCTTGAGAGTTTGAGTCCTGGTATCAAAACAATTAAAAAAAAAAAAAAACCCTGCTGTTTTCTTGTCAGCACAACTATTTTTATTGTTAAGAAGTATGGAAAACATCCCCAAAAGAGCGAAACAAGTTATTCCACCATTTGGCAGTACTGTGATAATCACTCTACAGTCACCTTTCTGTTGCTATAAAAAGATACCTAACACATGCAACTTCAAGTAGGAGGGATGTATTTTCATTCATTTCAGTCTGTGGTCTGCTGACTCCAAGGTAGGACACCGTGGTGGCAGGATGTGGTACAGGAAAGCTGTCCTGTTGGGCAGTCAGGAAGCCCAGTGAGAGGCAACAGCCTGAGGACACATACTTCCTGGCCACCTGCTTCTTCTGCTAGGCCCTGCCTCCTGGTAGCTCACGCACCTGTAAACTCATCAGATTACTTTAAATTTCTAATTTCCAAACTCTAGAAAAGAGTGTGTTTTGTTTGATTCACGGTGAGCTGTCTCCTCTGCTCCAGGCATTTCCCTGTATTGGTCTTTGGGAGTCTGGTTAACTGTGCAGTTCCACTAGAGACTGAGGAGGAGTAATCCAGTTAAAGACATGCAAGTACTTGGAGTGAAATATTTTTCAGAGCACTGCTATAAGCAATAAGAGAGAAAACTTTTAAAAAAGAAAAACCTAGTTATAATATACTTGATAATTTTGAAAGGCACATACATGTTAATTATTATGTGTACTAACATGTTATGTGGTATTTGGGGGGGAGGGTTACTGGGAATTGAACTCACAACCTCTGGCTTGCCAGGCAGGTACATATGCTACTGAGCTAAATTCCAAGTCTCAGCATGTATATTTAATAGCATTGGACTTACTTATTTGATTCTTTTTTTTTTTTTTTTTTTTTGTACTGGTGATCGAACTTGACCTTGTACTTGCCAGGCAGGCATTTATGTCACTGAGCTAAATCCCTGGCCTAGACTTACTATTTGTGTATTTAATTTTTTGAGACAAGGTCTTGCCGTGTAATTCAGGCTTAACTTTGACCTCACTGTGTAGCTCAGGCTGGCCTTGAACTCACAGGTATTTTCCTGCTTCAGCCTCCCGAGTGCTAGGAGTACAAGCAAGATTTATTTTTATTTTTCTGTTTATTATGTCTTCAGTGCCTAACCATGAAGGACAGTCTTGCTTGAAAGAGTCTTTCTGTGGAAAGATTTTGCGAAGCTTTTAAACAGAAAATTTGGGGCACTCAAAGATAGTTATTTATGTTTTGTAAATTCTTACAACTTAGGCAAACTTAAATTGTTTCACTGTGATATTCGTTCATGCGAGTTGTTAAGGTGGGTTTTACGGCATCTCCTCCAGGGATGCCTGAGCTAGACGAGTACACCATGGAAAGGGTCCTGGAAGAGTTCGAACAGAGATGCTATGATAACATGAATCATGCCATCGAGACCGAGGAGGGACTGGGGATCGAGTATGACGAAGACGTGGTTTGTGATGTGTGCCAGTCCCCCGACGGTGAGGACGGCAACGAGATGGTGTTCTGCGACAAGTGTAACATCTGCGTGCACCAGGTAGGCGGCAGCGGGCGTGAGGACAGCGGCGGAGCTTGGACCCGCCTGGCCTCTCCCCAGCTGGGCCCTGTCCCAGTCTGGCATGGTCAGAGGTGTGACTGCCGAGTAGACACCCTGCTCGCCCTGCAGGTCCGATGGACTTAGGAGCGTGTCCTGCTGCTGCCTTTACCCCAGGCGCCCTTGGGGCCAAGTAAGAGCATTGAATTTTAGTTTGCTGTGTTCTACAGTACCGCAAACTGGGTGTCTCAAATCAGTCAAAGTTTATTATAACTTTGTGATTCTGGAGGCTAAAAAGTTTGAAAAAAGAAACAAGATCAGGCTCCTTGTGAAGCATAACGGCTAGTTCTTCCCTGTTGTGTGGTTTTTGGTCCGTCTTTGGGGTTCCTGGCTTGCAGCTCCCTCACTGTGTGTGGTGTTTTTCCTTCCTGGGTGTCTGTCGCCTTATAAGACCCCAATCGAGTCATGTGTGGCCCCACCAGTGTGACCATCGTAAATAATTGCATTGGTGGTGACTGTGATGAATAAGATCATAATTTGAGGTGGTGGGGATTTAGGACTCCAGCATATCTTTTGGAGGATATTTTAATAATCCATAAAGTTGCTAGCAAGAGTGTAAACCGAGCCATGGATAGAGAAGAGAACTGCCCCTCGCGGGGTGAGCCCATGGGACGGAGCAAGCCTGGGTGCCGCGCAGTGTGTAAGCTTTCTGACGGTTTGGTGCCTCACCTCTTCTGATGTACTACTGCAGTGGTGAAGAAATGCGTTAGGTAGGCCCATGTGCCCAGGTAGGCTTTTCTGATTTAAAGGGCAGTCCTGAGATACTTTGGCTTTACCTGGTGATGTTGAGATTTAAAACATTTACAAAACAAAAGAGAGAAGTCTGTGGCCAATCTCAGGAAGACTCAAGTTTGGTCTGTGAATTTCTTGATTATCACCTTCTTGTAGTTTATCTGCCTCTACCTGCTGTGGCCTTGTCTCAGCTCATCTTGACAGGGATTCTTGAGACATAATCTCTTGCTTTAGTCACAGTAAAGCTCATTTTAGTGGCTCTGGATTTTCAGGTCACCTAGGAAGTCTCTGGGCAGTAGAGAATTCTTGTGGTTTGATGTGCTGTGATCATGGGCTGTGACTGCCATTGTTGCTTTGTGTTGCTGGTATTTCTCCTCTACTTGGGTGACTTTTCATTCTTTCTGCTGGCATTTACTCTGTGCTTTAGAAATGAGTCAACCAGCACAGGGTGGGGCTGTCCAGTGCCTCCCAGTGGGTCCACGGCAGAGCCGGTCCTGGTAGTTGGGGGCTTGGAGAAGACCACTCCAAGTTCCACTCCAGTCTTTGCTTTTTAACTGCCACATCACATGGTGTTTTTTCCTTAATATTTTCTTGTGCAAAATGCTTTATGGCTTGTTATTAAGGTAAACTTCATTAGCTTAAACCAGCTTTTCCTGTGGAAGGAGCTCTTCACAGGCGGCTCTAGTATTGAAACCTTAGTGTGTCATTAGCGTCACTGGACCTTTTCCCTTCAAGTCTGCTGACAGTGGCTGGCTAACTCACGGGCTGACACACGCTCCTGGGCCTGCGATCCAGGGTTCCTTCGCTTCCCTCAGCCCTCGGTCTTGTGGTTTCCTTCTTGCGTCCTGGGCATTCAGTGCGGAGTGGCTGTGTTTTTTCTGTCTGAAGAACTGGAGCTATGTTACTGTGACTCTCGACTTCCTGACTTCAGGTCACTTAAGGATAAAGCTCTGAGCAGCCTGGTTTTTAAAGGGTTCTCCGAATGCTCCTGGTACCATTGTGGTTTTGTTTCTTCACTCTGCTTATTTAATGTTTGCCTTTTCTTTCTTCAAGTTGTCTTAATTACTTTAGTTGTAAAAGCCTTGATTTCTGCAGTTTATGCTGTCTTGTGTAATTTTGCCATCTTGTGCAAAACAGGCTTTGTTTTAAATATCCACGAAAGAGACCAAATTCCCCCTTTGTCTGGGGTGTCTCCCTTTTCTTGGTCTGTTCACATGGGGCCGAGTTGGCCGGTGGTAGAGGATGTGCCGCCCAGGGAACGAGGGGTCCCCACTGCCCTGTCTCCCCTCACCTGGAACCCTCTGCCATCCGCAGAGCAGAAAGGGACGGCTTCTCCGCTTGACCCCAGAGCGTTGGGAGGCTATGGCTGTGCAGATTCCTGGTGTAGCCGGGCTTCTGCAGTGATTTTGAAACTTGCTGCTCCTGGTGGTGTTCAGGGCCACCTTCTGCCAGATACACAGGGGTCCTGTCTCAAGAGCCCAAACATGTGGACCTTCTGCAAGGTGGCTTGGTGTTTCTCCAAGGGGAGAGTCAACAGCGTGGTGGGGGTGGGTAGGGGTCTATGAGAGTCTTCCTAAGGGGTTTTGAAATTAGTAAATAAAAACCGTATTTTGTTCTCTTTCTCCTTTTCCCTCGGGGATATGCTCTGACATTGCAGGCCTGCTATGGAATCCTCAAGGTGCCAGAGGGTAGTTGGCTGTGCCGGACATGCGCCCTGGGGGTTCAGCCAAAATGCTTGCTGTGTCCCAAGAAGGGTGGAGCCATGAAGCCCACCCGCAGCGGAACCAAGTGGGTCCACGTCAGCTGTGCCCTGTGGATCCCCGAGGTAAGTGTGGCTTTCATAGCACCTTGGCTCTGAAGGTCCGGAGCCTGGGTAGTGGGTGGGGAGCCACTTGTGCGTATGTAGTGTGTAGCTGATGCATAAGAAGATAACTTCAGCTGCTGGCCTCTGTGGCACCTTTAGCTGAATCTCCAGTGCACCGTCGTGGTGTCACAGGACACACAGTAGTGGGGATGTGAGCTGGGTGAAGTGGTAAAGTGGACCGGGGGTGGGAGTGTCCACACATCTCTGCAGACCCTCACGTCCCTCACCTGCCCCAGGCCACATCTGGAGCTGGTACGGCTGTGGCCCAGTGGCTGAGCCGCCCTGTGAATCCTTGTGCTTAGCAAACCACATACGCAGCATCACTGTGCTTAAAGCCCTGGTGCTCCAGGTCACACTTCTGCGGTTTTTATTTAAATTCTTACTGAGCCTCAACCTTTTTAATTTCAGGTCTAGTCTAATTTATTTCAAGTCCCAGACCTTGACTAATTTAATTTGCATGGCTCACTATGAGAAATATAATTTGCGATTCAAATTCCAACATTTTTTGGGTGTGTGATTTGGTATATTCTTCCTTGTGAGAATTATCTAAGGGTGATTTGCATTGAGGTTTTTTTGACTTGGGTCTTGGTAAGACCAGCTCTTGTGGTATGGTATTAATAGGATACAGTTCAGTGACCTAGGTGGAAAATAGAGATGATACCTTATTTATCTTAATAGGTTTCTACTTTGAACGTAGTCATGTATTCTGACTGAAGAGGATGGTTTTCTTTAGTAAGAAAGATTAAAAATAACTTGAGTTTCTACTGTAATCGACAGTGTTTAGATATATTTAGGATGGGCCTTTAGTCTTGACAAGTTCCATGTGAATCTGCAGCATAGTAGAATGCATTATCCTCATAAGTGTCTCTTCCACCAGACTCTTCAAGTGAGCAATGGAAACTCAGTTATCTGAGCGTTTTTATACCAGGGATGTGTGCGTCACCTGAGCTGTGCTCTGGGATCCATCTGAGCTACATTGCCTGCCACTGTTTAGACTTGGGTTGTGGGAAGCATCAGAACTTTGCATCTCCAAAGCCCAGATTCAGCCTCTGATGGCCTGTGTCACACATTTTGCTATTTTTGACCTCCAGGTGAGCATCGGCAGCCCAGAGAAGATGGAGCCCATCACAAAGGTGTCTCACATCCCCAGCAGTCGGTGGGCGCTGGTGTGTAGCCTCTGCAATGAGAAGTTTGGGGCCTCCATACAGGTAATGAACTGGAAGCGTGGCTTCGTTTTCCTTTCCTGAGCTGTGGGGTTAGGTTGAAGGAGGGTCTACAAGTGGTTAGAGAAAGCAGGGTGCGGTTGTGATAGCCCTTGGTGTGAGGGATGAGTCCAGCCTGGTGTGACCACTTCCACTAGGCAGATTGTGTGCGCCATCACCAGAATACAGACTGCTTGGCCTGGTGCTCAAGTTGACCGCCCTCCCAGCTGTGCTCCCAGTGTGCAGCTGCAGCCCAGACCTGCCCTGGAGCTGCCTCCTGGGGATTGCAGCTGGCCCCAGTGCTCCACAGGCTCAGGCCTTCTCACCTGAAGGGTCAGCTGGCTAGAGGTGCAGCTGGAAAGTGCTGCCCTGGATGCCTTTGCATGGCTTGTTACAGTCTGAGCACAGTCCGGATATTCCATTCTTTCTGGCACCATGAGTACGTTTCTGTGTGCTTGTGCATTTGGAGAAGACAGGCAGGCACACACGTGCGTACACACATGCACACAAGGCATCTGCCTACATTTGTGTGGCCAGATCCAGAAGCATACAGTCATGACGTGTTCAAGGAAATCATGGAGATGGCTTGCTGTCAGGTGTGTGTGTGTATTGTCTAAAACTCTGCCTGAGGTGTTAACTTTTGAGTCTCACATAATTGATGTCCAGGCTGTCGGGTTTGCAGGACCTCCAGTGCTGTGTGGTGGTCTTGGCCCTAAAGGTCAAGTCTCGCTCTTCCTCTGGGGTGGACCGGCACGTGCCTCAGACCCTGTCTGCCTCAGTTGCTTTGTTGAATAGGAAGAGAGATACTCATTGTAGTCAGGGTTCCTGTGGATTTAGGAAAGCAACAGTTTTGGCATAGCAAAAACTGGGTGACGATGGGCCTGAGTTTTAAAAAATTTAGTACATTATATTCATTTTATATTTTTGGAATAAATATTTCAGTAAGGTACCAAAAAGACCTTGATTGGTGGCATCTGTGTGTCTAACATATTTAGCTAATTTTTTGTGGAAATGATTCCTCTGAGCTACATTTCCAGCCCTTTTTGAAATTAAAAACTTTCTGGAGATAGGGTTTTGTTAAGTTGCCCACCCTTGGCTTACTTAGGGTCTTCCCTGCTCAGTTTCTTAGAGTGCTGTGATTTCAGGTGTGCAGCAGTATGCCTGGGCCACTTTTCTTGTTTTCAAGCCAAGTTGTTCTACTTTTGTTATTATTTCTACTGGGTGTTTGAGAATGTAATAGAAATATTCTGAGGGCGGAGCAGTAGGCAGCTGGTGAGGTTTGGCTGGGAACCTTGAGGTAGCAGGAATTTTCTGTGTAAATAGGATCTGGCCTGAGAGTTGGGTTAGTCAAGGCGAATGGAAGACACACAGAAAAGCACTAGAGTGGTGTGAGTCTGTGTGCATGCGCGTATGTGGGTGTGCATGCAAGTGTTCACTTGTGCAAAACAAGCCGTGGTGGGCCAAGGAGAACGGCTGTCGTTTCTCCCGTGTTACCCAGTGTCCTTTGGAGCACGGACTCTGCCCTTTCCTGAGCACCCCAACCCTGGGCCTTAACTGACTACCTGACGTTTAAAGGAGGCGGGCAAAGGGGAGCTGTGCTTCTGTTTTGAGGAGAGCTGACAATGACTTTTTTGTTGCCATTGACCTCTTTTTTCCCAGAACATTAATTTGAAGGAGTGGAGGCCAAGGAAGGCCGATGATTTTTCATATCTTCATAGAATGGATTGATTTTATTAAAAGAATTTCTCTCGGAAATATCTGCAGCTGTGAAGGCTCTGGTTTATGTTTCTGTAACATCTGTTTGCTGAGTCAACCTGAATAGGAAAACCCGAAGGAAGGCCATTTGGCGTCTTTACAGAGTCCTGTATAAATACTCCCGCAGCCCTTTCTCTTTCCGATTGGACCGCTTGGGTTAAGTGTAGTTTAAGCCAAACGCAGATAGTATCCCGGTCATCTGTTCCCACTTGGCCGAGTGCGGCAGCGGGGAGCAGGCTTCTTTTAATGACCGCGGCCAGGTGTGTATGTGTGTGTTCTGCCACCAAAGCTGCTTTCACACAGTGTTTGGAATTGAGGTTATTTATAGATAAGATTACAGATTTGTTCGTGTGCTCGAGGTAACTGTAATGGGGAAATGGTGAAGGGAGCTGGAGTTTTAGTAGACATTGTTACTGTTGGCATCGAGTCACCTCTTATGGAAGTGACAGGGGAACAAGCCCGGCTCCAGCCTCTGCCATCTGAGTTCTGTGATTCAGGTCTGTTGGGTGAGTTTAATTAAGCTTTTCAGTTGGCCGCCAGCCAGTGGGTTCTGGTCCTTTCTGCAATCCTGGTGTGCCCCACGGATCATCTGGCCTCACACAGTACAGTCCAGGGATGCTTTTAGGGCCTGACTTCAGCCCCCAAGAGGAGCCTCCTTCCAGGGATTTGCTCTGCAAGATCAGACGGGAGAAGTTAATCGCTTTGCTCCTGCTAGGCCAGAGCTTGTCATCCGGATCAAAGGCACTGAATTGCAGCTCGGCTTAGGCAGTGAGATCTCGTCTAGATGAGGCCCACAGGAAGTGGTCTCCAGGCGTCCAGTAACCCTTCAGTGGCTAGGTGTGGCGCTCAGTGCTCAGGACCTCACTGGGCTCACGAGGGCCTCTGTGTCCTTGGAGCTAACCTGCTGGGGATTCTGCCTGGGGCTGGATTCTTCTAGTGGCCTGCCATGAGTGAATCCCAGTGTCGCTCTAAGGAAGTGCACCATTTGCTTTCCCTCTTGTGCTGGGGGTCTCCTGGCTGGAGTTCAGAGTGAGCCACTACATTTCCTTTAGAACTGACCATGGGGCTGGGGATTTAGCTCAGCAGCATAAGCGCCTGACTTGCAAGCAGGCAGTCGTGAGTTTGATCCCTGGTACCGATTAAAAAAAACAAAACAAAACAAAAAAAAGAACTGACCAGCACTGATCTATCCTGAGGAGATCTGTGTTCCGACTTTTCATACAAACATTATAAGGGCACAAATCCGTGAGAAAATCCAAAATAATGCCTCCAAGTGCCCTCTGCGTGGTGAGCACATGTTCTTTTGCTGCGTTCTTTTGAGGGTCCTGCCCCTTCCTCTCCAAGTGCCGTCTGTGTAATTGTGCCTGACCGAAGAGGGGATTTGGATGTGGTTACTCTTCTAAGAGTGATGGTTTGGTTTATGAAAAAGCTTTCATTTGAAGAGTTCCTTCAAATCCCCAGCCTTAGCTCTGTAAATCTGCCGAGGTGAATCCTCATCAAGTGGCGTTGTGACAGCGCGTGCTCCCGGCGCGGCTCTTGCTTGTGTGTATGTGGGGCGCCTGGCATGGAAACTGCTGTTCCCTAACAGCCTCTCTCCTCTGCTTGTTCTTCCCAGTGCTCCGTGAAGAACTGCCGCACAGCCTTCCACGTGACTTGTGCTTTTGACCGGGGCCTGGAAATGAAGACCATCTTGGCAGAGAATGATGAAGTCAAGTTCAAGTCCTACTGCCCCAAGCACAGCTCACATAGAAAACCTGAAGAGAGCCTGGGCGAGGGGGCCGCGCAGGAGAACGGTGCCCCGGCGTGCTCCCCCCAGGACCCGCTGGAGCCCTTCTCCAGCCTCGAGCAGAACCGGGAGGAGGCCCACCGGGTGAGTGTCCGCAAGCAGAAGCTGCAGCAGCTGGAGGATGAGTTCTACACCTTCGTCAACCTGCTGGATGTGGCCAGGGCTCTGCGGCTGCCTGAGGAAGTAGTGGATTTCCTGTACCAGTACTGGAAGTTGAAGAGGAAGGTCAACTTCAACAAGCCCCTGATCACCCCAAAGAAAGACGAAGAGGACAATCTAGCCAAGCGGGAGCAGGATGTCTTGTTTAGGAGGCTGCAGCTGTTCACGCACCTGCGGCAGGACCTGGAGAGGGTAATGATTGACACTGACACCTTATAGTGACTTAGAAGAGAAGATGCAAAGAGGCGAACGCTTGCCCAGAGCAAGAAGTGATAGCCAGTCATTACTCTCAGACCCTTGTACACACCGCAGCATGAGGTGGTGTCGGTTAAATATATTATTGGGCTGGTAAACTCATTGTCACATGTGCAAGACTGCCACAGAGTGGGGAGCTTCTTTGTGATTTTTTTTTTTTTTTTCCTTTAAACACTTTCTCATTAACCTTTACTCTTCTGTAAGGTCAGATGGGGTGGGTGTGTCTTTCTGTCTCCCTTCATTCTAGAACTGGAGGGAACTGAGCCCCAGGGAAATGACCAAGGGGTTGACTCAAGAGTTTACAGATTAACTTTGAAAACCAGAATGGGGATTTAATTTATGGGACAGAGGGCAGAGGTAGGGGACTCTTGTTCAACTGGGGAAACACTAGGTGCTGGTGAAGGGCTCACTGAGGAGAGCTAAGCACTGCCGCCCCCTTCCCCTGGCCACCTTTGCTTCCTGGCCTTGAGTGCTGTCACGGAGCGAGCAGGCGATGGGTACTGATGTGGGTGGCGAACTTACACACGCACATCTGGTTGGAAGACACTCCTGACAGTGAGGTGCTAAGTCATCCCCGAGGCTGTGTGTGTGTTGTGTGCGTGCGTGCATGTGTGTGTGTGTGTGTGTCTGGTGTGGATGTGGGGTGGGATTCCCGGCGCACAGGGGCCTCAGCTCTGAGGAGCCCCCAGTACTGCTTGGCACACTACAGATCCGTATGCTGTCACACTGCTGGATTGCTGAGTGTAGCAGCTGCTGGTTGCCTGGAGCCTCAGCTGCTCACATGTGTCCTTTGCTGCTTTGTGCTCCCCCTCTCCATTACCTTTGGAGTCCCAGGCTGGACCTCCCTTTCCGATGCAGGGATAATTAGCAGTGGGCTGTCTTCCCCAGGGTCCCCTGCTCCCCAGAGGTGTCTGTGACTGAGGCTTGCTAATTGGGGATGAGTCTTGGAGCACCTTCTTCACCACCAACTCCCCTGACTGCTCGCTACTGATTAAATTCATTAGTGTGAAAGAGATGGGATTGAGGTTTTCTGGCCTGAAGCAGCCTGCACAGAAATGCACCCAAGCGGCCTGAAACAGTTAATGCAACTCCCCCAAGCACCTCGCTTATTAGTGGGGAGTGATTCACCTGCCTGGGAGAGAATCTGATTCACAGATGATTTGAAATGAGCATGTAGGCAAAGAGTAGACTGCAGAAGAAAGATCCAGATCTCAGAGACCTGCATGGCTGTGCTCGAGATGGTGTAGAAAATATTTTTAGATACTCGTTAGAAGCCCTCCTGGTACATAAACTACTGCCAGCTCGTTGTGATGCTCCTTCCTAGACCAGGTGAAGATTCCCAGCAAGGCTGCAGGTTTCAGGTTTGAGGGGCGTCAGGGGTGGGAGCAGTTGGGAAGTGGCTGTGCTCCCACACGCCCCCTGGTGGTGAGTGTAAAGAAGACCTCGCCTCACCCATGTACATGTGGGATTTTTAAGTGAGGAGAAAGGGATTCAGAAGGATAAACTGCAATCCCGGCCAGAAGCTGCCATCCCAGCCTGACAACTGCTGTAACTGGGGAGCATGGAGTCAGATAGTCCTTGGGAGGGGAGGATGAGAAGGCTCATGTTTGGACTGTGTTTGTCTCACAATCACCACAAAATAAAAGTGTAGAAAATGCTTGTGGTGTACTAACTCTTTTTTGTACTTAAAAGTTACTCAGATTAACCTGCATTTATAATTAAATTCTGAACATATTTTGAAGTCGTCACTGTTGCTTTTTAAATAGAACAATGCCTGTGATGTATGAGAAACAGGGAATAAATCAGGATTTGTGTGTGTGTGCATGTGTGGCATTTTACTCAAGTACATTTATTTTGTTAAAACACCCATGAGATTTTAGGGAATATAGGATCGATTTAAAACAGACTTATTGTAGTGAGCAGTGTGTTTGCCTCAGATTTGCTACAAGCCCATGATGATGCAAGCTTTAAAAAGCTGAAATTTGCCCCACATCCCAGAGTTGTATAGTTCTTTGTAGTTATAGACGCTGAGTGTCTCAGACCAAGGGCTGATCAGGGCAGGGAATGACAGGATGAAAGTTACCTGTATCAGTGCGCTCATGTTCTACTTAATTCACACAATGACAGCTCATGGCAAGACACTCAAGTCAGGTGATAATAGATGTGACTATAATCACAGCATGTGGTTGTTCCTAAACTGACAAATGAGTAGCATCCCTCAGGAAGGCAGACGACCAAATGATTATGGAATTGGTCTTTCCTGCAGATACACATCTTGGGGCATTGTACACCTGGCTACCAGCTCTGAATCGGAAAATTGGACAGGAATAAGTTCCATGAGGATTTGGGAACCCTCACCTTTGGGCAGGCACAGTCACAGGGGTGACAGGTGAACACAAGTTCCCAAGGCTGCCATTTCCTTCGTTGGGTTTTCTCTAGGTTTTTTTTAAAAAGAGGGGTAATAAACATGAGTTTGGAAATGAGCACTAGTTCAGGCAAAGACAGGCTCCTGTGCTTGCTGTGGAAAGAGGCCAAGTCCCAGAGAGTCACCTTTCAAACTCTTGCCTAAGGCTACACTTTTCCCCCAGACAAAATGCTTCTAAGCTATATTGTCACAGGATCGAGGACTCCAGAAAGCCATTCTTGGAGTCATTCCTTAGGGCACTGGTTTTCAGGCTATGGTCTCTAAGCAGCAACATTGCCTGGAAATTGCATAGAAATGCAGGGCCAGGGATCGGGTGGGGTCAGTGTTCCATGTCTTGAGGCCCCCACCTATTTCTCTTAGAACCACTGCTTCAGGGGCAAGTGTGACTAGGGGGAAAGTGTGTCCTGGGCTGCCTCAAGCAGCAAGAGCAGGAAGGTGGGAGGCTTGGTGGTTAGGGTGCAGGCAGGAATGCAGGGTATGCTTGGAGAGGGGACGCTGGGTCAGCTCTAAAGCAGCTGCAGCAGCTGGTAGTGGAGCCAGTTTTAGGTGCTCACTGGCCTTGACTGGTCAGAACTGGGTCAGTCTGGCTAGTTGCATTGGACCGTGTGGTCTTTGCATTCTAGTTATTCCTCATCAGAGGTCATGGGGGAATAGAAGTAGGGTTTTTCCACTTAGCCACGGGGAAGCCTCGCCTGGGTCAAGTACTGAAGCCACCAAAATTAAATTGGAACATACAAAGTGCAGGTTCACTGGCTTCTCTTGTTTCTGTTTTCATGAGTAACTTTAGAGACAGGAATATCTGCTATCCATCTGAGTTAAACATGAGAGCAACCTCTCCACTCCTAGAATGTCAAAGAATTTGTTCCTATGTCCAAAAAAGTCAGATTATTGCTTAGTTTAAACATTTACTTTATTGGTACATTTTAGACACATACCATGGTCACACTCCTAGGGAATGTGTACATGATACACCTCGCTACTGTTTTTCTCCTTCCCCTTCTACTCCTCAGCTCCTCCTTACCATTTTTTTTTTTCCCTTAATGGAAAAGCTGCTCTAAGTTTGTTTTTTAAGACTAGGTCTGGCCCCTTTTTCCTGAGTTTCTCCACCTAATCTCACATAGGTGGGTTGTAGTTATTAGTCTGACATGTGATAGCCATCCATCCCCACATGGGTCAGGATTTCAACATAGGACGCCTGGCTCCTGCTGCTGGAGTTACCTTAGCCAGGCAAATCCCACCAATGTGAATCCGAGGGAGAGGGTTATCTATTCACTGTAATAGGAAAAATATTAATATGTTAGTAATGTGATGTGTTAATAGAAACAAACACAGGAAGCCCCTGATAGTGAATCTTCAGGGAGCATCACTTGGCGTTTGCTGTTTCTGCCAGGGGCTGACACCTGGAGCAAAGCTTTTAAGCCAGCCGGCCTGTGCTGTTTCTCTTCCTGTCTCTGCCTTTTACAAGTGAGACCGCCTTCAGCACCACTGGCACTGTCCGGGTGGAGAGCTGAGGCCAGAAAGCAAAATAGTGGGAGTAGTGTGGCTTGTCACTGTTAAGGGGAAAGGAAACTGTGGTGGTCTTTGAATTTAGCACGCAGAGTAAGGTAAGGGGAGGAGACTCGTAAGGAAGACAGTGCTTTACGATGGACATGGTCCTGCTGTGCTGCTGCCATGAGATCATGAGATGATCCCTGCCTTCCTGAGGAGAAGTTTACCTGTGTGAGTGGTGCGACACTTGTGTTTTTAGGCCAATGCAGCCTGAGTGGTGTACTGTTTTTCCTGTAGGACTGAAGGGTCAGTGGATCAGTGACGGATTATTTAGGTTTTGGTTCTGTGCTGATGGCTGCCTTCACGGTGGGGATGGTGATGACTGAAGGCTCAGTGGAGACTTGCTGACCATGTGAAGTGGTTGCATCAGATTGAGGAGGAGTTCTTGGCCCTTGATCTTTGCAGTTAGAAATGAATCAGGAACTGAGGGCAGTTGAGCTGGAGGTTCGGCCGGCGGCAGATCCCTGGCGAAGCCAGAAGGAAATTCTCAGGGCACACCCAGGGCTCTGCCTCTGCTGTAGCACTTTGGAGTTCAGTGTCCAGTTAGCCAAGGAGCTGTCTTGGGTACTTGGGGACACTTTGGTCCCCTGCATGTTGCACAGAAGTTTTTCTCTGTTGGGTCTTGGCCCTGTGCTAGGTCAGCAGAGGTGGCTGCAGAGCCCCTGACAGAGTCAGGAGATGCTGATGGAGGGTATGTAAAGCTCTTTGGTGTGTGTGTGGGACCCTGCAGCCCCTGCCTGGAAGGCTGGTGTGGAGGAAGGGCAGGGCTCTGCGGTGCTGCAGCCCGTATCCCGTCTAACTTCTTTCCCGTGGTTGCTGTCTGTATCAAGGGGACTAAGTGGAAACCTTGTCTTAAAGGAGATTAGAGATTGGGTAAAAATGCTTAAAGAACATTTTCATTTCAAATGTTTGTCAAGGGCCTAGTAGGACCAGTTTCTCTCAGGTAAAGAAAATTAAAAGCACCAAAGTACTGTTGCCATGAATTGCTTACTTAGAATCTTTATTCTCTACATTCTAGGTTCGGAACCTCACTTACATGGTGACCCGCAGGGAAAAGATTAAACGATCTGTGTGCAAAGTCCAGGAACAGATATTCAATCTTTACACTAAGCTCTTGGAGCAAGAAAGAGTTTCAGGTATGGATTAAGCCCTGGTAGGTCAAAATGTAGGGCAGAGGGTTGTAAGCCTTTCTACTACCATTAGGAGAAAATAATTTGGTCTTCTATTTTCTTCTATCTACCTCATTTTAAGAAGCACAGGCTTTCATATTTAAAGAAAATCTTTAGGCATTAGAAGAAGCATTGTGGTATAGTGGAAAGAGTTATGAATTTGGCCTAAAATGAGTTGAGTACTGTATTCGCTAAATCATAAATGGTAAAACCTGACCCAATACAAGCATATCTTCCTTTTCCCTCCCGATTTCTTCCTGTGTAAAATGTGCATGATGTGCCCAGCTACCTCTTTGACCTGTCATGAGTCTCAAATGAAATAGTAACTTATATACTATTTTTAAAACTATATACAATTTTTTTTAAACATACAAGAGCATTAGTTTTTAAATGTATTTATTTTGTGTTCCTACGAAACAAACCTGGGGCTTATGCATAGGAGGCAAGCACTCTGCCTCTGAGTTACGACCCCGGTTCCAAAGCTCTGGTAAATTCATCAGGGAGATAAATACACACTTTTTTGTAGAGTGTCAACTTTTGGATCTACTTGTAACTAATGAGAATATATTTTAAGATTGACAATGTGTTCCATTTCTTAAATAATATTCAGATTATTATTATTATTTTTTGGTATAGATGGGATTTTGACTGTTCTTGACATTGAGTATCATGATTCATGCATTTAGTGCCTTTATATTGCTCTGGGATGGGAAAATTTTTAGAGAAGGACTAGGATATGTATTCTTCCTGATCACAACAGTTACTTGGAGATCAGATGCAAAGTTGGGCAAGTTGTTTAACCTCTCTGGGATTCCCTTGATCTGTAAAAGGGTTTGGTGTAGGATCGACCTCTAGCATGCTTTTTAGCACTGAACCCCTGGAATAGTTACTGTGAGGATTTCAGAAGGCAGACGTAGGCAGACTGGAGTGGGTGGGTTCAGGCTGGCCTTCAGGGGGCATCGCCAGCAGTCTGTGCCTAATACTGCCCTTCAGGGTGAACAAAGAAGTTGTTATAACTTTGATGTTGAAATCTAAAATTCGGTTCTATAACTATAACTAGGTATGTGACTGGAAGTGCCTTGATCAGCTGAACAAACAGAAAATGGGGAGTGAGTTTATAATGAGGCTTTTGAAATGTTACAGTTTAGTGACATTAACCTGCTGATACGATTTTAGATATTTTATCCCTAAGATTAAATATTTACCAGATGTATCAAATGTGTATCATTAGCTGGAGCTTGGAGTTCCTTTACAAAGCTTAAAAGTTTTGTCAAGTAAGGCATCTTAGGTAAGAGCAGTTCAGTTCAGACTCTGCCCTCCGAAGCCCACTGCGCTGTCTGCGTTGTTCCTTCTCGAGCTGCCTGGGATCAGATGCAAGCTGAGCGTGTGGCTGGCGCTGCGGAGACTCCTGCGACCTGTCCTGCAGTGAGTGATTATCGGCCCGGACAGCTGTGAAGAGCGTTTTCATCTGCTCTTACTCACTTCATGTGGGGACTACAGGCAGCTTTTGTGCTTATGCCTGACGTTTGTGTCTGGGTCAATGAGTGAGATTCCTCAGAAAGTTCAGGAAGTATTTTGAGTTACAGAACTGTAATGTAGATCCGAGGTCCTACTGCATTTCTAGAAAAGGCAAACAAATCCTCCTTTTATTCTGAGACAAGAACCTGCTAAATATGAGCAGTTGAAAGTGACATCATTCTTCCCATAAGATGCACAGTGCACTTGAAGCCCTAGAAGATGGCTTTTTTCTTTTCCAGTTACAAAGCTTTGCCTGTATTTCTTATTCATGTCTAAGGTTAGTCTCCTGACTTGTAAGATAGATGATTCCAAAGGAGCAGAGCAGGTGACCGTGACTTACACGTGCTGATCCATGTTCAGACCCTGGTGAGATGCTGAGCGTGGTGGGGTGATCCTGCCGCGAGTGGGAATGTCCTCAGTGGCGACTGCCCATGGGGCATCTGCAGTCGGCTGCTCTTCAGAGACACGGATTCCACCTCGAGCAGATGAGGAATTGGGTTAGGAAAGACTGGTCCCTCTTCACCTTCCCATCTCCCTACAGTATGTGATTCAGTGAAAGACATGTATTAAATGTGGATGAAGGTAGCTTCTAATGGTTGACTGTGAGAAGACGGGCGTTTCCAAGCCAGCAGCCTACAGAAGGGCCCCCACCCACGGCACACAGTTCCGAGTGCAGCGGTGCTACCAGTGGCCGCTTGCCGGCCGCGTGCATGCAGCTCGTGCTCAGGCATGGAACTCGTTTCCCTGGTGGTTGAGACCTTGTGGAGACACAGCACATGAGAACTGCTCTTTCAGATGTTCCCGAGGCTTCTGCAGAAACGTGATCCTTCCGATGAGTTCTAGTTATCAGTTCACCTAGTGTTTTCCAAGCCAGCAATCAGCGGTCACTAGTGGGAGTGAGATGGACTCGGGTCATGACTATTATTCAAAGCAAGTGTGGAGAATTAGAAATGTTAGAGTGTAGATCAGGCAACAAGGCTTAATGTACAAGGGGTGGATGCCAACATGGTGAAAGTTTAAATAAGTGATAGAGTAAAATACACAATGGCATTAACCCTCAGAATACTCCCTTCGCTTTAACCCAGCTTATCCCATTGTTCTTGCTGCTGTCTAAGCGGTTCAGGTCCTCTTCTGTAAAGGCGTGATGGAAAATAAGGGGGCACTGCTGCCTGGTGCCAGCCAGCAGCGAGGAGGGCTGGTACAAGCATGAGAGCGCCCTCGCCCACCTTACTCCCTGCGTCTGTCTCTTCCCCAGAGTCAAAGTGACCACAAAAGGTAAATGTTTCAAAGTCCACTCGGGACATCGAGGTGGTCACAGCAGCACGGTAAAGATATTCCCGGAAGAGAACCTCAGAACTGCTTCGGAAAGTGGCAGGAATGAGGGGATTAATGTATGGGGGGGGGGATATTTTGAGGGAGATTAATGGCAATGCAGTGTGTCTTACTGTAATACCGTTTTAAACATTCACTGCATTTTTCAGTTATGCCTCTGCTGTAATGAAGAGCTTTCATTATACTGTAGATTTTTAAAAATTGTGATTTGCAACAAAAAGACATTTAACCTGTCCTTAAACTGGATGACAATTCATTTAAATCCAACAAAGGGATTTTCCGTATGATAGTGAATATTTTTTAACACTTGTGTTAAGAGCCATTTTAAAAATTTGTCTTTATTTACATATTGACGTGTTTATCCTCAAAACAACTCCGAGGCTTAGACACTTCGAGGTTCTCAGTCCCTCCCAAGGGCGCAGCCAGTCTCACAGAGACCCCCGCACGGTCCCGCTGCTGCCCTGGGACTGCAGGGGGAGGCGGCGAGCACTGACCAGTTCTGCTTGGACGAAAATCAAATCAGTTATTTTGAAAATCAGATTAGTTATTTTGTTTGAAGGAAAATGTAGTCCTTGATATGCCTCATGAAAAACTGATGTGAGTTTCAGCTGTTGTAGGAAAAAAAAAGTATCATACGGAGTACAGATTCACAAAGCAGGTGGTATCTTTATTGTAAAAATCCAATTTTGACAAATAGGGTGGCTGTATGTTCTGCTGTTGGTAAGAAGTTTGCATAAATTGGGCAGTGCTAAGGTCTAGAGTTTTCTTCTTTTGGATTGGCTTTTGTAATCTTTATTTGTGATTTTATCTTCCTAGGTGTGCCTTCTTCTTCCTGCTCTTCCTCTTCACTGGAAAATATGCTTCTGTTTAACAGTCCTTCGGTGGGCCCTGATGCTCCCAAGATAGAGGACTTGAAGTGGCATTCTGCATTCTTCAGGAAACAGATGGGTACTTCCTTGGTCCACTCCCTGAAAAAGCCTCATAAGCGAGACCCATTGCAGAACAGCGCCGGGAGCGAGGCCAAGACCCTGCTCAAGCAGCCGGCCCTGTGTGGCGGGAGGGAGGGGCTGGGAGTTCCCGAGAGCCTTCTCGGTTTTGGAAAGACTTTTGCAGAAGCACGTCTCATATCAGCACAACAGAAAAATGGGGTGGTGATGCCAGACCACGGGAAGAGAAGAGACAATCGTTTTCATTGTGATCTCATTAAAGGAGACTTGAAGGATAAACCTTTTAAACAGAGTCACAAGCCTCTCAGGTCCACGGACGTGTCTCAGAGGCATCTGGACAACACAAGAGCTGCCCCTTCCCCCGGAGCGGGGCAGTCAGCACCCGGCACCAGGAAGGAGATCGTGCCCAAGTGCAACGGCTCCCTAATCAAAGTGAACTATAATCAGACTGCAGTCAAAGTGCCTACCACACCTGCCAGCCCAGTGAAAAACTGGGGAGGATTCCGGATTCCAAAGAAGGGGGAGCGGCAGCAGCAGGGAGAGGCCCATGAGGCGGCCTGCCACCAGCACTCAGACTACCCGTATTTGGGGTTAGGGCGAGTTCCAGCCAAGGAAAGGGCAAAGAGCAAATTAAAATCCGACAACGAGAATGACGGGTACGTCCCTGATGCAGAAATGAGTGACTCAGAGAGCGAGGCATCGGAAAAGAAATGTATACACGCCAGCAGCACCATCAACAGGAGGACAGACATCATCAGGAGGAGCATCCTGGCTTCTTGATGACAGAGGTGGCACAGGGAGCACGTGGGCTTGTTGGGTGTGCTGGGGGAGAGCTCTGACGTGGGGGACAAGCAGAAACACATTATTCCTGAGATACACAAACACATTTACTTGTCACTCAAGCTGAATTTTTCCAGAGTCCTTTATAAATCATTTGCAACTCATTGAGGAAAGAGAAGAGTAGATGGTAACTGTAAGACACTCCCAAGATTAGAACCTGAACTAAACACTAAAACAAGAATGAATTAACTTTTTAAGAGGGCAAGGCTTAAATAAGACTCATGAATTTTAATTGCCCTCTGCATTCTTCCCAAAGCACAAACTCTTGGTTACCTGGATATATGGAATCAGATATAATTCTGTACACTGAATCAATGCCATTTATACCCTCATGTACCATTTATAGCCCATAAAGCTTGTTTGCTAGGACTGTGGTAGATCTTGACATCGTTGTGGCCCACAAGGCTGTTTGGTTGCGTTAATAGGATACAGGCAGCAGCTCTGAAGCTTCAGTAACGCTAGGGAATTCATGTGTAAATATAGCAGTCAGGGAAGAGATAATTTTTCAGAAGGTCATTACTGGAAGAGCTGAAAGGACAGGGTAGAGCTGCTGCAGCTTGGTGACAAAGGTCCTGCTGGCGGAAGCCGCGAGAACTGACAAACGTGAGGGCGTTAGGAAAATGTTTCTTCGAGGACAGGCAGGTAGGGTCCAAGTTTTCCAGTCCCATTGACCTCCTTCCCTAACCACTGGTTTTGGGCCAGGTTGGGGTTTCCCTGACCATTGCCAATACCTGGCCGCCTGGCCTCTGACAACGCAATGGCTATTCAAGTTCAGGCGATGAACTGCAGACTCTGATGTTCCCAGAGCCAGCCACTAGTGCATATGCTGGTGAATCCGGATTTCTATCATAAATGGATTCCTTAAGAAAAAAGGATAAAAGGAGAAAAAAAAAAAGAAAAAGAAAGAAAAAAAGAAAAAAGTGAAATAGGTTATATTTTAAAATAGTAGAAAGGCAATAAGTTGTGATAAGTTCTTACCATTGACCAATACAGGAAAGAGACTGAAGTGTACCCTTGAATAGGTTTTCTGGAGTCAGAGTTCTAAACTCTTTAATTTGTGACTTGGATTTTCTAATTGCAAATGGCAATAATTAGTAAGTTATCAGCAATAATAAATTTAGCATTAAATTTGAGTACAATGTTCTGTTTTGCACTCACTATAGTGCACATGTAGTAAGACAGTGGATAGTGTTAAGGTCCTGTTAATTTTCTTTGGAATTCAATGTAGTTGTGAATCAAATTTAAGAGAAGGAACGTTTAAATAGCAATGAGATTTAGGATACGGGCATTTGGAAGAAGCCCAGCTTCCCCTAAATTACCCTTTGGTTTGTTAATTTCAGTATTCAGATTTCTGATTTATTTGTACATCTGTTTCCATGTGGCAGGGACATTTCTGATACTTAACGAATACTGCTTTGAGTTCTGTAGTTAACTTTCAAGTCTTCCAGATGATTGTCAACAAAAGAAAAGGCTTATTGAATTCCATCTTGCTATGCAAGTTTTACCTGATGATCAAGTAGTAGATCTGATGCATCCCCATTGTATGTATGACATTTTCAAACCAAGTCTTAACTTTTCAAGTACATTTAGTAGCTAATTCAGGGGAGGGGAAAGAATGACCCAGATTTTTAGATTGACTATTTTTGAGCTATGGGGCTCATTTTGAAAGACTGCTGTCCAGGTCAGCTTGTTGCTACAGATATTAGAAGGTTCTTCTGAATCCAGGTTGTACATTGAGTCAGAATAATTTAGATGCTTTTGCATATAAGCAAAAACCTTTTGCTGGATGTAGGAGAAGGTTGGACTCTACAGTTATCTTCTGATTACAGTAACAGCTCTGGGCAAGAGTAGAATTTATAGAGGGATAATTTGTGAAGCCATAGAAAGAAAATCTAAATTAACCTAGTAAGTATATGACCTCTCACCATTTTAAGAGGTATCAGATTCATTTGCACTATGAGGAATGCTAGTTTTGTGCAAAAATAATGCCTTACCTATTTTTCCCCACGTTTAGGTTGAAAAGCTTTCAAATGTTCCAAGTTATGCTGAACCAAAAAATAAAACACAACAACAACAACAAAATAAAAATAAAATACCCCATACAAAAAACAAAACACAAAAAAATAAAAGCCCACGCTTTTTATTCCTGCTTCAAAATGCAAATGGTATAGAGCACGGTTTCTCTGACAGTATAATGATAGCTTTGTGAGTTAGTTTCATGTCACGCTGGGAACTCTGTATGAGGTGGCCATAAGCAGCAACCAGCCCACTTGCATTCTATTAGTATGGAACCATTTGCTTTTTTTCCTTTTCCTTTCTTTCTTTTTTAATCTTTCCTTGTGCATCCTGACCAAGAAATATCTTTGATTATGATCAGTGTATTATGTCAAAATGTAGGCTAGTTAAAACTTCTGTAAAGTTGCCTGGAATGTCATTTGTTAGATTATAAACACAAAATCTAAACAAAGGGTTTTATGTGTTGTGTACAAATCAATTATTTTGAAATGGACAAACTTGTCATTACATTTGTAACCTTGTACAGAGGATTTTCACTATGTGCCTAGCTTGGTGTCCATTCAGCTAAAATTGAAAAAAAAAGGTGCATGAAGAGTTAAAAATCAGAAATTAAACAAAATATATGTAGAGATGACTATTTTATATTACATGGCCCGATCCTGTATTTATTTCTACCCCCTTTTTGAAAGTATTTATAAAACTAGTTGAGGACAGCTGTATTTTTTTGTTGGAACTATTTGGTAGAATTTGTGCCTTTTTGTCTGTATGTGAATAAATGCTGTACATTTTGCAATACATTTTAAAGTGTCTTGGTGTCTGCTTTGGCTACGTATTTGAGGGCATATGTGTACTGTTTTGCCTTTTAGGTCAGGAATGAGAACTGTGTGGGGAACATGCAGAGCTGATGGAGGAGCCACGGGTTTACTGGGCTGCTTTCTGGGTCTGTCGTGATGACAGGTTGATTTCAGTTTTCTTCTCCTGGAGTTTTTTCCAGAATACAAGTTTGGATCTGGAAACACATAATTATTGAAGCAGCACAGACTTAAGGGGCAAAGAGATCTGTCCGTATTTACAGGGTTAGCTACAGTTTACCAGCCACATGATCACAGCTAAATTACTTCACCTTACAAGCCTCAGTTTTTCTAACTGTGAAAAAAGGGTAATCGTGGTCTCTTTATTCGAGTTGTTGTGATATACAGTTATCTATATAGATATATATATAGATAGAGTTTGGGGCTTTTTTATACCAGGAATTGAACTCAGGAGCTTGTGCTTGCCAGGCAGGCGCTGTGCTGCTGCACTAAATCCCTGGCCCTGTTGCGGTATTTTAAGAAAGTTCACAGTGTTTCACGGAGGATATAGTAAGTGGCAGGCCGTCGTTTTCATCATTAGGAAGAAGTTACTTTTAAACAAAGTTTGATGTGAAGGTCGTATTTATAAAATGCTCTAAAAGTAATTTCTGGGTCAGGAGTAGTGGGAGTTCGAGTAGTGGGAGGCTGAGCTACAAAACAAACCTGCCCCAACCTCCTCACCCCAAGGAAAATTTGAGCCCATTAAATTCTTTCTTTGATCCCAGAAGACAGCTTATCTATATTCCTCAAAAAAGACCCCTCCAAGAGCACCTTCTGATTTCTAGTTTTTAGTTTTCCTTGCTGGACACAATCTTTTACATGAGCACTGCATGTAGAAATTAGCATATAGTGAAGTATTCTTTTCTGTCTTTACCTGGGGACAGCAAAACTGGTGTGGCTTACATGTTTTCATGTAGATTATCATTAGGTGACACAATAGGGTAACGTTCTAGTCTAATTTATGATTTTTGCAAAAATTTGGCCAGTTTTTTAAAACCATGAATTACACGTACAGTTTGCTAAAACCTTATTTCTCCTTTCTCCTTAGTGACTATTTACTTCTTTGTTGCTTGCTCTGAGTCAGACCCCAGAGAGAAATAACTGTTTCTTCCTACAAGGTCTTAAAAGTTGAATAACCAGGATAGCTCCTCAGGGAAATTAAGTCCCCAGGAGCCACACGCAGGGCCTGTCATTGGCAGCCCTGCAGTCTGTGATGTGAAGACTGGCCCCAGGGATTTGGCCTCACACTTTCACCCAAATCAATTAGAAAGTGGTTTCTACCTTGGAAACATTAGCCATCTGCAACGAACTTCACCATGAACTTCTAGGTTGAAATCTTCAGTATGATTTCCCTTTACAGCTCAGAACTGCATTAGATGAGAGGTTCTAGTCCAAGCAGAAGCGCTTTGATGGCCTAGACATTGAGAAGGGGGATAAAAGCAAATCTAATACATTATCTCCTCCATTTCCTTGCTTAGGGCTCTTCACGCTGCTGAGTTTGATGTCTGCTTCAGACCTTCCTGAGTGGACTGCTTAGAGGCATTTTTTCTCAAATTAGAGGTGCCTGAGATTTTGGGATTCGTTTTGCTTTAGATCATATCCCAGCCTGAGGCCTGGGAGTCCTTTGTAGAGGCGCTGATCAAGTCTGCGTATTATACTTCCTCGTGCCCGCACAGGGTCCCGCTTTGTGCAGTCCCATGGGCACCTGCCTCTTCACTCAGTTCACATCTCGTTTCTTGGCTCTCAACTGGTTTCTCCGACTCAAGTTGTGCTGAAATTAATCCCTCCTCTAATTAGCTGCAATCCTGCCTCCAATGATAACTTCTGCAGCAAAAACTGAGTTCTGTCCTTGCTTATAGCTTTCCGGGCGACCTTGGTCTAACTTTAGGTGTCTGTTTAGTCTTCTAACACAAGGACGGCATTGTTATTTCCAGTCTGGAGGAAACTGAGGCATAGAGAAGTGAAATGATTTGCTTATGGCTGGTTAAGAGGCAGAGGTGGGGGTCAATCCTCAGCAGTGTCTGAGATCGAGCCCCCAGACCCTGCTGCCTCAGAATGTAGAACACATAGAGCAGTGTTGATGAAATCTACCTGGTGAAGCTAATAACTTTGGCTTGGAACATGATGTTCATGTACCAAACACCACGAATATAACATGATGGTGCACAGTATGGTCAGTCCTTATTCTAGGGAGGACAGAGGTGATTTAGTCACACACCTTTGTGTAACATACATGCACACATTTACAGGTAAAACATGTGCCTAGAGGGTTAAGGAAAATAATACTGCTATCAGGAACTCAATAATTCTCCCTGTATTTAGACACTGCTTAGAAAGTTACAAGGAATTATTTAAAAGCAGAATTCTGATTAAGACTAATGTTTGCATATTTTAAATTGAAGCTGTGCAAAACCCCCAAGTCAAGCACAAAGTATAATAAATGCAGTTTTTTTACAATGAAATAAGCAATGTCAAATTAAGTAGAAAAAATAAAAACACTGTGTACTGTCATTCCCAGTGTCATCAGCATGCCCTGACATTCTCACTGTTTGGCTTCTATATTGCTGAGTTTTAAGTAGTACATTTATTAATAGTTGTAGCTTATTTTACGCATTTATCTGGTCGATGATTCTAATTTCAAGATTATTGCCAATGTAAAACAATTTTTCATAAAGCAAATGTTTTCCTGCAGAGTTTGTCTCTTCTGTGTGTAGCAGTCTCTCCTAAAAAGGAGACTTGTTCCTTTTTTGCATCAATTTGGCTTTGCTCTAACTGCAACTGCAGTTGTTGGAGCTTTTTTTTTTTTTAATATCAAATGCTTTTGCCATCTTTAGTTCAGCTAATCCCAATACTTTAAGAACATACTTTAAAATGCTATGCTTTGATAAAAAAATACAAATATATCAGCCACTTTATAATTACTAAATATATTTGACATATATTAATGATTTATTTAAATTGATATTAGTGAAACTCATCAAAGAAATGAACAATTTCAAAGGAAACAGCTATTACAATTTCCTATAATATTTATACTACTTGTATTTAGGTTATGACTACTTTCTTTTGTTGGTTTGAAAAATTATTAAATGCCATTAGTTGTAAATTTTTTTTTTCTCTAGAATGCTTTCCAGGTATATATGTAACTTGTAAAAAAAGGGGAGGGAGGAGTTTGCATCAGGGCGAGAGGGCAAAACAAACCAACATACAAAGAACAACAACAAAAAAACAAGACTTAAGAGGTTCACAGCTCAAATTTGTTTTAGGCTGGAGAATGAAAAAGTGGAAGTGGAATTCCTCCAAATCCCTGTTTTCATTCACTGTCAAGGACATTGATCCTTGAACTGCAAAGGACAGAGCAGATGCTGGAAAAGTCACCTAATGTGTGACAGCATCTTGCTGTCTATGTGAGTTCAAGACTCCTGACCCAGATGAATTTCTGTCTAGGGCTCCTCAGAGAACCCAATCAATGTCAGCCAATGGGCACCTGGGAAAGGTGCCAGGAGCATGGACTTGGCAACCTGAAGCTGCACTGCTGTACAGGAGAAGGAACTGTGTTGTTGGGTAAGTCTGGTTTGAAACCCACTGGGCCACTTACCAACTATGTAACCCTGGGCACATCATTAACCTTTACCATTCTTTACAGCATGGAAAGCAAATGATAATAGTTGCCAGGCAGGGGAGTCCAATTCTATGGGATGAAACATGTGAATGCCTAGCACTTGACAGGTTCTCAACAATACAGTGATTAATACAGATCAGCAGGTTTATCAGAGATCCAGGCAGGGACTGTCCAGGGGTTCTTTTGGGTATTGGATGAATTTGATTATAACTTTGATTCTCTTTTATCCTCTGGAGTACTTTTCATCAAAGGAGACATGAACTTCAAATTTTTAATCTTCACAGATCTAAGTGACAGTGCTTTTCCTTATACATCAATCACAATATGCTCGGATGCCTTTCTTATTTGAAAAAGGGACTGTGCTGCCACTGGAAAAATATTAAATGAAAGTTTCTGTGACACCTTATCAAGCAAACTAAGGGTTTCAATCAACATCTAAAGAACATGCAGTGACTACCACGATGTTATATGGAATAACTAATTATTAGCTGCTTTCCTGTTGGGCAGGATTACTAGATTAGGCCTGGGCAATATGAACAGCATGGTATAAATAAATGTCACGAGGCAGAAGGCTGCAGCTTGCCTGATGCTCTTCGGGTAGGTTATAATCCTAACCTAATGGATTACTATACAGGCCAGGTTAAAAACAGGCTAACTGGCACCAGCAGACAGGTGCTGACTTAGTAAGGGGACTGGTGGGTGGCATGATTTTAGAAACTATTTAGGGTGCTCCTCATCTTCCCAATGATTTGCCTAACAAAAAGGATAGCAAGTCTGGAGTTGGCATTTACTGTACATCAGAAATGGTGTGGGGTGCAAGAAATATAGTAAACAAGACAGACACAGTCCTGGTGCTCAGGACTAATAAAGTAATCTCAGATATATGCTGGGCAAAGACTTAGCTTAGTAAAAAGTCTGTAGAAAGATAAGATTTTTGTCGACAATATGCTCCATATCTGTCAGTGATTCAACTTTTGAAAATATAACATTTTGAAGTTATATAAATGGAAATGTAGACCTCAGAACAATAATTCTCATGTTTTCTCCTAATTTCTTAGTACATGTTTGTGATGTCTTCTCATCTCAAACACTGATGAGAATCTGTATTATGTATGTACATTTTGTGAATCACTAACTATAGGGATGCTCAGCTGCTTCCTTAACACAGAATGGCAGACTCTCCTAGGGCAGGGGAAGGTGTAAGCCATAGCCATACCCTAGAGAGCCTAATAAGCCGTCCTGCCACATTGAGACAGGGGCCACTTATCCTCAATCCCCATCTTGTCAGGATCTACAACAAGGGAAGTAATGTTTACTGACTGAG